TGTGAGAAATTTAGGAGTACGTGTATTTCAATTACATATTTCCTTACTTTCATACACATAAATTATATATATATATATATATATATATATATATATATATATATATATATATATATATATATATATATTCACCCTTATTTTCATCATTCAAAATTACTCCTAAAACTCTCTCTCTCTCTCCTCTTCCGAAGATCCAGCCATTGAAATTATGTAAGCCCCTTAATTTGTGTTTGTTTATTTGATGACGATTTGGATGCATGCTTGTTATATAAACGTTTCAATAAAATAAAATAAAATAATTATCGGAATACTTTATAACTATATATTAAAAAACCTATGCCTTTTTGCAATTCCTTAATAGTTAGGAGGAGAAAAGAAAAGTCATAATGCTCTAGATACATAATTATATATTTGGCCAGTGAGGCTAATTTCATTGTGTATTTTCAACTTCGGTTGTTGCTAATGCTCTAGAGTTTTCGGTGGATACCAAATGTTTACAGTATTTTTTGGTGCGAAATAACATTTGGAATCCACCGAAAACTCTGGAATCCACTAAAAAAATAGAGAAAACTCTAAATATTTAATTAAAATTCGAAATTTATGTTAAAATAAAGTCCTAAGGCAGCTATTTATACTAATAAAACTGAAAATCCTAATTAAAATAAGAAAATACTAAAGATTACAAAAAACGGCAAAAACGAGTTAGAGCCTGATTCTAGTAGATCTCTTAATTTTGCGAAATCCAAGGCGTGTATGAACGCCCATCTTGGGCGTTCCAATATGTTTTTGCGAAAAACAAAAGCCCTACAAATCGATTTGTAGAGTTTTTTTTAACATGAAATTGGTTCCGTAATCGACCTACCCAATGCATATTGCACATAAAAGAGTCGAAATTACCTCAAAAATCGAAGCCCAATCCTTCTTCAAGCTTGATTTCAAATTTTTGATTTTTTTTTTTTCTTTTTTTTTTTTTTTGCTATTTGCAGTTTGAGGGGCTTTTGGATTTTTTTGGGAAGTTTTAGGGTTTTAGAGAGATAAAGTATTTTTAATACAAACAGTAAATAGCAATTTTCAAACAATAAAAAGCATTTCGTATATAAAATAAAATAGTTTTTTGTTCTTCATAAGATACAAAAAAAATTGATGTTACAAATAATCATCTAAGTGAAAATGCATTATAATCACGAGTGAAAATTGGAGTGCAATTTCCGAATTCCATCATATCCAATTCAATATTCTGAGTATTGAAGAATATTTTTCATTCAAAGTCTCTGAAAATTGTTCCGGACTTTTCTTTCTTTCTTTTTATATTAGAATTGGAATATATGTGAGATTGTGATTTTCAATCTGAGAAACATTACCTATTGAGTTATTTAAGTTCAATAAAATGAACACTAAAGTCGATATGTCCGAGTGGTTAAGGAGACAGACTTGAAATCTGTTGGGCTTCGCCCGCGCAGGTTCGAACCCTGCTGTCGACGATTAAGTGTTTTTTTGTTTCTTCCCTTATTTTTATCCCTTTATTTTTATTTTTCGATTAGAGTGTTTTTTTTGTTTCTTCCCTTATTTTTATCCCTTAATTTAATTTTCGAACTCGATATTGAGTCCCTTTCTAGCTTCTTCGCTCTTCGTAATCTTGATACCTCTCTCCTTTGCAACTCAGTGATTGCGCGTCGGCACAGTTGGATTGCAAAGTTAGGGTTAAGTTTGGAGTAGGGGATGCCACAAGTCATAATTTTTATTATCGGGTCTTTATAATTTTGTTTGTTGAGGGAATTATACCGGTTATTTCTACTCTACACCCATTGAAGGTTACACCTAGTGAATTTTTACCGTTGATCTACACAGATCAATATGGATGTATGTGTGTTTGTGTGCTTATGAATAGTAAAGATCTACCCAATGTATTTCACGAGGTGTAGCGTAGTATAAACCGAATTATCCCCATTTTCCCTATTAATAAATGCGCAAATTACTCGGCAAGACACAAAACACACGCGGAATGTGTATGTGTGCGGGCTTATTATGAATTTCACAAAATTATTAAATTGAAAACAGTGCACCACATGAACACCCATATGAAATGCAAAATTAAGCAAAGCACAAGAAATAAACATGAAACTTCTAAAAAAATCAACACATTCACATAAACACAAAACTGCACTCACAATACAGAAATTTCATATCATTGCACCACAACACACACACACACACACACACACACAAAATGGTGGAGCAATTCCTTTCTTCCTTGAAATCTTACAGAAATTTCATATCATTGCAACACACACACACACACACACACACTTACACACACACACACACACAAAATGGTGGAGCAATTCCATTCTTCCTTGAAATCTCACAGAAATTAACAATCGAAAAAAGAAAAGGGAAACGGCTTACAGCGAAAATACATAACTTTCAACTCTATAAATAGAGTCGAACACATCTCATACGATACACTGCAGAAACAAACAAACAAACACACAGCAAGAAAAAGAACGATAAAAGAACATAGCTGCTAAGATGAATTCCAACAATGGACAAAGCAGCAGCAATTACGGTAAGAAAGGAAGCGTCGTTCCTAAAGAGAGGGACCATGTTATCACGATGGTGGGCAAGAAAATCGTGGACAAAGTTGTCAAGTCTGTCGAGAATCACAACAACAAGGGAAAAGTAAATCCTGGTAATTAGCATACGCAACAATTGGTTTATTCGTCTTTTGATTATAGATCACACTGTAATGTTCGAAGTACTGTACTTATTGCGCACCAGATACCTGGCTAACAATGTGTACGTTAGACATTTGTTCCAAGATTTTTATTTCATTTGACACGTTTATATAGTACTGAAAAAAGAATTTCCTTAAAAAGACAAATCGGTCGTTACCATTCTCGATATTACATGCAAATTTCCTATTGGTCAAAACCTTTCAAAGTTCAATATATTCGTCTATTATTGAATATAAGATGGTTCTCGATATCCATTCACACACCGCACAGCAGAGCCAGTAATCCCAAAAGAACAAAACAGAAAACGAAAATTAAAGGAAAAAGTTGTTTTCTTGATTGTATAGAATCTCGTTCCGACAGATATTAGACAAAAACGGAGCACGGTGAACAGATAAATAATAAAAACTTAAATATGAAAAAAGAGATGAGAAGCAAAAATCACATGCTCAAAGCTCTCATATACTTCTACAGAGTAAAGGATAGATCGAAAAAGTTGAAATACATACGATTAAGTCGCTAGTGCTTGATTTCACCATTCTCTTCATTAATCACTGATGTCGTTATAAACTAGAGGCTCGTGGCCATCTTCGACACCATCGACTTCCATGGAAATATCGGATCCCTCGTCATCACTTTCATCATCATTGTCCTCGTATATGAAAGGCGTCACCGTATCATTCTCCTCCACATCATCATCAACAGTCTGTATAGAAAAAAAGTGATTGTCCCTTTTTTAAGCTTCCTCGTGTAAACGAAAAATAGCAAGTATTCAATAAAAATGTTTACCTCTGCATAAAGCAAGTCCAAGCAAGTTGATAACTGAAGTACGTGGTTGAAAGTCGAGACTCTCGATTCTATCAGCTGCATATATGTTCAAAGTTGCTCTTCAATATTTTAGCACCGTTTGCTATGACAAACACAAAAAATGAATTTTA